TTAGGGTTTAGGGTGAAGAGTTTAGTAATATGGCTTAAGGACGAAGGGCTGCATAAAACGCAAGACCGGGCCCGTGTGGAGACTGACAGACATCGTGGCCCCTCGTAAGCTCAGCTTGGCATCTTCCACTCGCCCTGCGCCGAGCCCGTCCTCCATCCGGTGCAGGTAATGTGCCCAAACTTGCCCAGTCAAGCTTCTAAGTTGAAACCCTGAACCCTAAAAGCAATACATCCCAATGCCCTAACAACCCTAAACCCTAAACCCTTAAATTCCCTAACCCCCTCCTTCTCCAGAGAAGCATGGTTCTGCGCTGCCAGCCCCGGCCGTGGAAGGATCAAATGTTCATCCTCCGGAGAAACCACAAGCTCCTGAGTAGGTCTTTGAAGGGGGGTTGGGGTTCAGGATTAAGGCTTTAGGGTGTGATTGGGGGTTTAGGGTTTGGGGTTTAGAGTCTGGAGGTTTAGGGCTCTAGGGTTTGGAGTCTGGGGTTTTACGGTTTAGGGTAGTCTTGGGGTTCAGAATCAAGCGCATGCGGACTTCTGCTTTATCAGGATTTCAGGGATTGGGACTCAGGGTTGGATGTTCCAAGGTTTAGGGTTCAGGGGAGGCTGACAGTCTGCCTGGTGTCTCAACATGAGCGCCCTCCAGCTGTTGCGTAGCACTCCAGCAAAAAAGCCACTTGCAGGGGGGTTCCAGACACAACTGATTGACATGAGTAACAATGTGTTTTAGCCGCGGCACTCTCTTGCCAAAACGAAGGGCAGCACCTCCGGAAGGCGTCCTGCATGAGAAATTTTGCACCCAGCATGGATGGACAAATTCTTGCACCAAAAAGAGTCCCTGCACTACTATTCAAGGGCTGCAGGATTTTGTCCATGAACACTTTTGCAATCAGCATTGCTACTGCAACTGGCCGACAAAAGTCATCAAGAGTACTTGGGGAGCTATTGCATCATGGCTCTCAATCCTATGACAGGACAGATGCTTGATGGCTTATAAGACTTCTCAAAATCAGTTCCGGTACTGTTGGTGACCATGTGAGAAGAATGGAAAGAGGGAGGGCGTCGTCTGAGATGAGAATCATGCAACAGGGCGCGCATGAAAACAATTGCGCAGAAAAAAATCAACAAGCGGGACAACCAGGGAAAAGGGTGCGAGATGAGCAATGATTAGCACCACGGTGCTGATGATGAAGACACGGCAGGCGATGATGATGGTGATGATGATGACGGTGATGATGTGAATGATAGCGCTACTATCATCAGGATGCAGCAGATCAGGAGCATCAAAAAGATATGTTAGCTCCGTTTTCAGGATGTGGAGATTTATAGTAGTTTCGATACGTATTATTGGAAGCGCCATGATGTAGGAGCCATGACGGAAAAATGATGAAATGCAAAAGAAAAGTATTGACAACAGGCTTAGGGGTTTAGGGCTGAAGTGTTAAAATCTAGGGTTTTGTGAAGAATCCGCCCCTACATCGACCTAAAGACTCAGCTTCCAGGGGTTATGCCGAAGTTGCTAGTTCTGAATACTCTCAAACTTCCTATTGTTTCTACTAGGGTTGTACTACTATAGGCAACACTAAATAACACAGGGTGACTAAATATATGAAGTAAGATAATCGGGATTATATGGGGTTTATATAGGGCTTATGTGGGGGGTTATAGGGTATATGCGGGGGCTATGTAGGGATATTGCCTCAATACTCAAAAATCAAATGTAAAAATGTGGACACTGGGGTTATGTAAAGGTTGTATGATCGCATTCTCGAACAGTGTTTAATGGATCCCGTCAGTATCTGATACCCATCAAATCTATTTAGGCGCTTGGCGCGGCAAGTAGGGGTCGGTCCCATCAGTTCTAATTGAAAAGGAAACCCTGTTTTTGTGGATCCGGGGCCCACGAAGCTTACGTACCGTTTTCTTTGGGTTGACCTCCCACCCTGTAACAATGACTATAGGGGATAATAGGGATTATATCAGGGTCCTCCTATATTCCGATTATAAAACTATTACAGGGTGGGGGGGTCCTCCTAATGCTTGCTAGTTGTGAGTTGGGTTTTCCTCACCTATGCAATCTCCACAGCGCAATCATCCTGCCAAGAGTCCTGCTGAGTAGCTGGCAAAGAACCCACTCGGAATCATCTTCTGCAGGAAACCAAACAAACTCTTTTCGAGTTTCCTGGGTCATTCGTAGAACCATATGGGGACACATTTGTTGGCTTGAGCACTTCTGTCTGACAAAAATCAAAGCTGAACCTTAAAACTCCACACGCCCTAAACCCTAAACCCTACTTCACAATGATCAGTTTCCATGGCTGAGCCACCCTGTAACCATTCCAGAGGACCTTCTCCCGAAAGTCAACGGTGAATGTCAGCCTGGCGGTGCTTGCAGTGCTTGCAACAGCCACTCGGCTAAGGTTTAGGGTTTAGCGTCGAGGGTTCAGGGTTTAGGGTTTGGGGTCAAGAGTTCAGGGTTTAGGGTCTAGGGTTCCGGGTTTACGGAGCAGGGTTTAAGGTTTGGGGTCAAGGGTTCAGGGTTTAGGGTCTAGGGTTCCGGGTTTACGGTGCAGGGTTTAGGGTTGGTGAGTAAGGGGATCCCAATACGGAACCTCAAATACAATAATCCTTTATATGGGGACCTCTAAAACGGTACCCCTGCTCTCAGGAAATTCCCGTGTCTTGGAGCGACCTAATCCTCAGAACACTGACCCAAGGTCCAGAGACCCTAAGCCATAGACATCTGTAGACAATCCACTAATAAAATAGCATAATATGATATAACATATTCAATAATCATACGAACAATATTAATAACAAGCATAGTAACTTAGGAGTAAGAATAATAATAAGAAGAACAACAGTAATGACAATAATAGAAATGGTAGTAATAATGCTAATAATAAGAACAATAACAAGAACAGGAATGGCAATGAGGCATTGCAATGATAAGAATAATAGAAGTAGCAATGGTAAAAATAACAAGAATAAACACTCATGATAAGTTAATTCAACAATAACAATGATAATAACTACCCTCGACCACAAACTTCGAACCCTGACACACAAACCCCAGCTTGTACTCCAGCCATCTTATCAACAGTCGGCCATGAGCCCCACGATGAACCCTCAATAAGCTCGCTGCTTACAACATCACGCGCCTGTGCGGACCCGCGATCTTAATTCCACATCCCGAACAGCTTGCGCCGATTCGACGCGGTCGGTGTCAACATCGCCCAGGCTATGGCCCCGCTTTGCTGATTTACTAGTGTGCTCTGTCCTGTCCAAATCGAGTATGGGAGGCGCGAGGTTTTGCATCATGTTGGTTTGATTCTAAGGTTTTAGACGGCAACGTCCGTGATCTGAATATTGAGAGTTGGTGCTGCTGGGGCTCTTGTCATGAGCAAAATCCCACGGTCGGATTTGAATTAGCATTGGCCACACTGTAACCCATGCATGATGCCACTTTCCATTTCACTGCTCATTTGATTCTGCATTATTGGGATCCTTGCGTAACCCCTTTCCATATGTCCCCTGCACATCCCTTCGTAATCCTCTATGCGTGCTGGAGTCTGCAGTTCTTGCAGTCCAGCCAGAACCTGTCAAAACTGTAGTTTTTGGCAGAAACCTACACCGCCTACAAAGCCAACTTTTGACGATGCACTTTGTCGTGCTACGGTGGCAAGACAACTTTTTCTGCCGCACGAGTTCCGCGTGGTACCAGTGACTTACCGTCTCTGGACAAGGCTCAGTCACCTCTCCCAACCTGGCAGCCGGTGATTCGAAGTTACGCTGTATGGTTGTGAACGTCATTGTCGGCTACACCGTACGACTCACGTAACCCCCCGCACATCTCTACAATGGATGTTGGCAAACGCAGTGAGGAATCCATACATCTTGGGCAATCATGTCCTTGCGGTAACGTGCCTTTGTCACAGCAAGAAATGCTTCAGCGTGGGGAGTGGCGGAGTGAATAAAGAGTGCTAGTGTGTAAAGCGCGTGCGTGTATGTATCTATCTATATATACACATGTGTTCATACATAGGACACAATCATAGATGTATGCAAAGGGATTTTACATCAAGCGATCCTCGCCTCCAATCCCTCTTGAGCACGTTAAAAAAAAAGGCACTCTGGTGCTGCTGGGGTTCTTGGCATGCTATAGGCTTGAGCATGTAGGCCTCCACTTCCGGCGCAGGGACGGCGGATACATACACGTGTATATACATATCTGTTTATGCGTATGTACAAGTATATGTATACAAGTATATGTATAGACGTATATCTATATGTATATTGGCTTGCATATCTATACGGATGAGTCTGGATTTTGAT